GCATTATCATATGCCACTCCGTGCTCTCATAAAACTTCACCTCGGGGAAGCAATCAATCGTTTTTGCTGCAATCAGCTTCGGCAAGTCAGGTTCAATTTTCTCTTGTTTGCACTCATGATGGTATTTTGAGAAGGTGATGCAAGAATTATGTATTTTTTTCAGGCATGTGCGTCTCCCACAGACACATGTATTCTCCAAAACATATCTTGATTCCTAATTTCTGTCATATCTTCTGGTAAATATTATGGTAAACAAATAAATCATTTTCAAGTCAGGGCCCAGTTTCTCACTACAGCTTTTTCTGCTTTGTGGTTTAAAGTTATTCAGAAACAAAGAGAGTTCAGTGCTCAGTCCTCATATCCACATGTAAATGCCAACACTAGAATATATATATATATTTGACAGGAGTACTGCAACTTTCTCTAAACTCTCATTAGCTCATTTTTTTTTGCTTCCAAGGATAGTACCTGAAGAATATGAACACAAGAATGTGCAAGGAATTTCACCAAGTTTCAATGTTCCTAAAGGGGTAGGACTGGCACTTCACTCCCATCTTGGCACAGACTAGAATTCGTGCCTCATTGGAACACATCTCCTCTGAGACGTGACTTGCTTTGAAGGCCCAGACATAAATTGCAGTCTCTCAGACTTCAGGAAATAGTAGATTCCCTTGAAGGGATTCTCTGCCAAAGTATTTATCTTTCGCTAGGCAATGAGAAGAAGCTCTTGGGAGAATATGTTCTCTCATAATAATGACAATGGTTCTGTCATCTGCCGTGCTCTGAGAGATTTGTAGTGCTTCATCCATACTTCGTGGCCCAGCAATAGACTCCGATCAGCAGACATCAGAAAAAAAATTATATGTGCTCAATGGCGATTCCTCTCCTTTGAGCAAAAGGTGTCTTTTTCCAATAAAAAAAATGTATTTTAGAGCTGAAGGATACAACACATCTGAATGTGATCTTACTCTAACCCCCACTTGGATCATACCCTCAGGTGGGGGGTTAAGATTCCAGCAAGCAACAAACATTTCTCTGGAAGATGTAGGAAAGGCCTCTGGATTCAACAGACACAAAAACATCCACTAAATTATTACCATTCCAAGGAAAAATCTATTCCATAAGCCAAAGAACATGGGACAAAGTACAAGATGTGTTATAAAGTAAGTCATGAGAGTAATAACAAGATGCCTCATTCTGCAGACAGGGCGTAAAGCTCCTGATTCTAGGGACATGAGGCACATGAGGGATAAAGTAATAGCCTTCTTGGCAAGATTGCTAGGGCATTCATTGCATTCTCACTCCATCCTCATTTGTCCCTCATATCATTCCAAAGAAAGAGGCTATCAGTACTATCAGGTATCCCAGTACACACAGCCTTCAAATATTATTGGTCACATCAACACTGTAAAGCTGGCTACATGCAGAGAGTGACAGCATGATGCATTCCCATGAAAGGCAATTGTTCAGAAGGCCTCTGTGACTTTGTACCATCCATTACAAACCAGCACATAAAAAGGCACCAGAAAGGGTATCTCTTGGAGACCATTGAAAAATGAGAGAAATATGGTAATCCTCCTTGACCTGCTCAGCATTGGCCACGTCCAGAAACAGACACAGACATCAATTGATTCATATCCTACAAGGCCTTGCCGAGGTGCAATACTAGAGGAGACATCTTGCAACAGTAGGAATTATATATTAATATATTTTTGGAGTACATTTCTAGCCATGGACAACGTTCACTGAGCTACACTGCTCCCAACCTCAAGGGTCCACTGAAACAGTGATACAGAGCCAACACAAAATAAGAACTGAAGACTTATTCCATGCAGAACATGAACTCACTTGTCCCAGACCAATGGTAGTCTAGTAAGCAATTGACATCTCTCAAGAAGGACTAGAAAAGGCCTCTGGGTTCAACAAGTCATACTTCCAATTTTGTAAACACATACTGCTTTCTGATGTACAGAATGTACTCTTCTATCACTCCTGGCCGAGGAACATATCTTATACAGGACATTCATTCATAAGGATTTAATGGCAGCCCTCTCGGTACAACCACAGACACATATGACGACTGCGTTTTCATCTCTTCCACGCTTCATCCTCTCTGTTCTCCTCAGAGTACTGACCTCAAATGGCATTTTTTCACTATGCTATGCAGTCATGGTGTTTATGCCCTGTCATACTTGTTCCTCTTGACCACCCCATCACTATATTACTGTGGCCATGAGCATGTGGACATCACATGGACAAGAACAATCAAGGACACTGGTGCTTTCCACTTCTACCAATGTAAGCCTGACTCTTCCCCAAGGACATGTGAAGAAATTGTAGCCTCAGAGCCCTCCACAAATGCAGTCCTGTGTACCACTTGTCAAGCCACAGGGCCTTACTTGTCTGGAATGCAGAGATATGTGAGATGAGAAACTGTAATTCTGCCTTCTGCCATATGTACTCACCAAGAAATTCCATATTCCTTGGCATATCTGTCTTTTTTATTATTTTTTTTAGAACACACCGTAACATGCATAACACTTTCCTGGTATTTGTTAGGATTACTTGTTGAAGTGAGCAAGTATCTGAAGAGATTAACACTCCTCTAGGGATTTCTAACATCCATAGTATTGGAGTCACAGGCTATTCTATTAGGGAATTAACTCTTCTTAATAGTTATAAGTTACATGAATAGCTATATGGCAAGCTAGAGATCACATGAAGTATAACACAATGTTACACACTGCTAACATGGCCTATGTGCTCCTGGTCCAATATTGGAATTAAACATGGCAGTGTGAGTAATTGCCTTTATCATTCATATCCTTTTTAAATATGGAGGCATGCAGAGGATGCAGCAGCCTTCAATGGCACAGAACTTTCAAAAACAATGACCACAACAAAAAAAAGCAGCATAAACCACACCTGTTGACATTCTGAAACAAAGAGGGGGACATGAATGACAGTTCCCCAGACTTTTTCAGTTTTGGCCTCCTATAGGAAGGGAATCAGCCATCATCTGAAACCTACTCCAAAAAAGCTATGAGGGACAATTTTTTGTTGTTGTTGTTATATCAACACTACAAAGATGGAGGTAGGAAAAGGATGCAGCAGACTTCAATGACTCAAAACATTCAAAAATAACAACCACAACATCAAAAGCTGTATAAGGCACATTTGTTGGAGTTCTGAGGAAAAAAAGGGGAGATATAAACAGCAAATTCCAGAGCTTTTTCAATGCTGGCCTCCTATGGGAATGGAGTCAGCCATCATTTGAGTCCTACCCTAAAAAAGCTAAAAAAGACGAAAAAATAAAAATGGAACACATATTTTCCATACACAAGAGGGCTTTGTTATGTTTTTAGAGCACTCTCAAATGCGGAGATATCACTCACTGCACTCCTGGTTTCTGACCTCACAAATCCAGCGAGATTCTACACAGTGACATCAAGACCTCCATAAGCCATTGGGAACGATACTTCAGCTTGCATTCTCAAGACCTAAGAATAGGCTGCCACCTATAAATATGTCATAATTACTCTCCACTCAAAAGACATTGGAGCACCATGCGGAGAGTACCACAATGATTCGCTCCTTAGGTAAAGTCGTACCTGTGCAATATACATGTACATTTTACAACTTGAAATGTAGAAAGCACTCAGTTTGCAGGTCAGAGCTCACTTTTCTCCCAAAGCAGAGAATAAAAACAGGCAACCAAAAATATACAAGAACATCTAGAAATAGCCTCACAAAAGAGGCAGCAGTACCTTCAGTTTGGAAAATGCATTCTGCCATACCACCCTTCTGTCATTAGCCACTGATTAGAACTTAACGTAAAAAACAAGTCCTAATAGATGAACAAGTGGAAGATGCACCCAGCACAGGTAAAGACCCAGGAGACTCTACCTACAACCCATCCACATGACAGACATTTCTGAAAAATATCTCAAAAGAGCCTTACAAAAGCGCTTGATATTCTACATAGCAGGTAATATAGTATTGTTTCTTTGATTAAAACATTTAAACGGGCACCCCTCTTCAGTTACTTATATTCCCATATAATCGTGAAGAAACATAAATTGTTAAAGACTGTCAAAGTTATAAATGAGAGAGCAACGGTCATAACAGGATACGAAAAGCAGCGAGAAGAGGATAGTGTCGTCCATTACAGTTTCGCAGTCCCCAAGTGCAGTATGAGTAGATACCATTATATACAACGAGGAAATACATTTGCAGTCCCTAACATTTGCAGTTACTAACACAGACCTCTCATTTCTGATGACGGGAAAGGGACCCCCGTTCGATTCCCGCTTTTAGACAAATACAGAAAAATATTACCTCTTACCCTCATAGCAAACACATGGTTCCCATTGCAACCGACAAATGGAAAGTAAAGAAAGGCGATTGGGACATTAACGAAAGACTGAGATGTCTAGAGACCTACAGTGCACTGCAGCTGGGAGGAGGGCAAGGTTTGCGATATCTCACGGGCTGTAAAGCTATCACGGCTGGGTGTTTAAAAATCCAGGCCATTCACTGCTGCAAAAGACGTTTAAGCTACTAATTTCAAGGAGAGCTTTCAAAAAGACAAG